ATCTTTGGTATCATTTTCTCTAACCCGCGCATTGTTCGACAGCTCTCTCATTGGTTGGCCCGCAATTTGATTGGCTCGATATTATCGTGTCAAAACAACGTGGGTCTAATTTGATTGGCTGTTGTGCCGACAGCACATGCAATGAGAAATACAGAGCGCTCCTCAATAACTTACTTTATAATCTTTGGGTTTTGGAGAAAGTATCAAGTCTTGTCGAGTCAAAGGGCTCGAGTCCAAGTGAAGTCACGAGTCATTGATGTTCCAAGTCGAGTCTAAAGTCATCAAATTGATGACTCGAGTCATGAGACTCGAGTCCACACCTCTGTTATTAACACAGGAATGAGTGCATCCTTACCCACATCCTGCTCATATCTGTCAAATCAGCTTTGTTCCTCATGGAGTCTTTTATCACCTGGAGGGGCAGAGGCAACAGCATGACACGAATACAACCAACACGTCTTACGTAGTGTATTAATGTGATCGTTACATACATTCGAATGTCCGTCTCGCAGCAGCTTGTGGAAGACGTGGCAGAACTTCCAGCAGAGCACTGCGTTGCTGGAGAGAGGAAGTCTGTTGACAGCTGCCCAGAACGTGTGGGCGCCTTTCTCATGATGGGTCCCAAGGATGCAGGGTGACAGAAAGAGTCAAGGCTCATGGGATTTTAGGGAACAGTTTTTTTTTTTTTTGGTGTACCGTTGACTGTAGAATATGTTTTCTCTAAACACATTTATCTGTCTATGCCGCTTGTCACAATATTACTGAAATGTATTTTTCTTATGTGTGTTTAATAGAAATTAAACAGTTTTCTTTGAACTATTCAGATAAATAAAACATAAAACTTTGTAGTTGCTTCTCTCCGGTTTTCTTTGAACTATTCAGATACATAAAACTTTGTAGTTGCTTCTCTCCTTGACCATCAAGTACTGCAGAACCACATGGAGATACTGTGGTTACAGAGTTTGCCCTGATCATAACTTCATCTTATGCTAAGATGAGGTCAAACATTAGTGTAAAATTGCCTCATAAACCTGCAGCCGTGGAGGACATTATTCATACACGCACATACACACGCACATAATATGAGGATATTCTCCCTTCGCTTTTCTTTGACAGCAAGTTCCTGTGTGTTTATGGCCTTATTGATGCTGACAGCCTGCGAACAGAAACACAGGAAAAGAAAGAGAACACATAAGAAAAAGAAAAAAAAAAAACTCCCTTCAGCAGAGTACAAATGTTTCCTGTCCCGAGCTCCTCTGTTGCCCTCAAAGAGACAGCTGTTTCACGGTCAAAAAGTTAACTTAAAAAAAAAAATTACATTTTTACACAATAAAGTCAAATTCTTCACAGTTTAGAAACGGAAGTCCTCAACTCTTTCATTCACTTTTAAAACTGATGCCACATTTACCCCCCGCAATAAAATGCATTTCTGGCAGAGTGGACCACAAGAAAGTAAATAATCCCCAGATGCTCTGGAGGCGCGGAAGA